TTTCCATTGGTAGAATACCCTGATATTGATTTATGAAAATATACTAGACTCATCCACTCTTTTCAATGCTCTATTTAATGATCCATTTAAGCTTAAGCGATATACATTTCAAAATTAAGACATTCGCTTGTGGTATCATGGGGTTTCTACTTTAAGAAAACTGTGTACGAAGTTAACTGTTTTTATTTAACTGTTTTATTTTAACAACATTGTTTTAAGTATGAATCACATTTACTTTATGGTCTAGCTCAGGGTTTCTCGGTCTTGGCACTGTTGACATTTGGACCAGACGGTTATCTGTCTGGTGTGTTGCAGAGTGTTTGCCAGCATCCCTGGGCTCTGCACCTGGATGCCAGCGGCATCTCCTTTCCAGGCATGATGATCGAACCGGTCTCTGGATAGTGCCGGGTGCCCAGGGGCTGGGAGAGCAAAATTGTCCCACTGGTGGAACTCACTGGTTGAAATGCACTCTCTTTGTCGTCCTAGAAAATGGGCTATGTAGAAAATAAGGGAGTTAACATTAAAGATAAAACTCTTCATAACATTCAGTACCAGTTCAAATTTTTCTAAAAGTCAGAGTGCTGGTAAATTTAAGAACCTGAGAAAAGGGGATGCCTCTTGGCTAACATTAGGAGTAACGGCTTGAGAATATATCTGATTTGAAGAAGGGATGATGAAAACCATAAGGTATGTTAACTCCCAGCCGCTCAGGCTTCCAAATACAGCATAAAATCAGAAGATCTCTCATTTAGGCCGCTCCTTTCTGGCAGGGACGAGGCCTCTTTTAGAAATGCTCCCAATCTCCAGGGAAAGGCCAAGTCCTTTCGTTTCACTTCCCTGTCCCTGTGCTCCTGTTCCCTGGTCTCTTCCATTGGCAAGGAGAGGCGTCTGCTCTGTGGTTCAAGTTTAATGGCCAAGCATATACAGACACATGATTTTCATATATGGGCTTCCCCGCAAAACTGGAAAGATACCGCTTCCCTATGAAGCGTTTCAGTTGGGATCATTCCTACACTGGGATCATCCTTTCTACCCCTTTGCGTTTCTTTATTTTTCTTTCTTTCTTCCATGCGTAGCTATGATAAGGTCTCTCTAACTCCCTAACTTCAGCCTTCTCTAACCACCTCCCCGTCCCTCCCAAAGCCTAATCAGTCCCGGATAGTGGCCACGGCAAAAGACATGTAAGAAGGACTCAGTTATTTCTGGATTCCTTTTTCTGGGTTTCTTTGTGATGAAAAAGTAGTAAGATTTCAAGGGCCCAAGAGTCTAGGGAAAGAGGCTGTTACAGGGGCTTTTGCCCACGGTTTTGATCTAAGTTAGCCCAGATCATAAAAGCAGTATTTAGAGGCCCTGATTTTAGATTTCTATCTGTGTTAAAGACCTGAACAACACGCGGGGCTTATCTCCTACTTCTACTGTTAATGGAGTCTCAGTAAGAAGTGATTTAATTGTGATATAATTAGAAAAGTTGACATTTTACCTGTCATTGTGTTTTATGTTTTTAATAAGAATAAAGCCAATGATGGAAATGGAGGCATCAGTCAAGGCCAATATGGAAGTTCTTCCTTTAGAAATGATATATTCATTAAAATTTTATAAATTTAGAAAATTATAGAAAAGCGGTCAGTTTCCTATAGCTTTTCCTAAATCTTTGTATGGGATAGGCCACAGAAATGGGGCTGAGTGTGAGGAAGGGTATACCTGTTCTTGAAATCTCGAATATGGAACTATGGACTGAATTTCCAAATTTCATAATCGAAACCTCCTTCTGTTAGGGATTAATCAAGCTACTGTATTATTTTTTGAAACCTGAGCTTATTTGAGAATGTTAGTAGTTATTAGAAACCCATGATAAATGTTTTGTAGAGTTACTTTAAATAGATATATTTGTCACTGGTTAGAAATTAGAAAAAATCAATTATGCTTACGATATGGGCCCTACACAGTAACTATAATTGAGTTTCTTTATTTTTAAAATTTTTGGCAGACCGCTGCCTTTAAACCGCTAAGCAGAAAAATTTATTGGTTAATTCTCATACATTTACTATGGAAAGTCAGACATAGCTTTAAACACTTGATTAATTTGTGGCATTTGTACGTGGAAATTACAGTATTATAAAACTGCATTCTATCCGAAGCTAGTTAGTAAATTGTTTCTAAGAAATAGGTTGTTGAAATTGTAAGACTTTTAACAAAGAATACAGGTTGTAGAAATGTACATTAATTTGAGATACAGAAAATTTTTCAAACAATAATATTCTCGGGGTTATATGCAAATGGGCACTAAGTAAGAGACGGCTTCTGCAAACATGACATAATAACAATAATTAAAACTGTGAATGTGAGAAATCTAGAAAATGGACCAGCTATTTAAAAGGCAACTGTACTAAGTGAATTTGTATGTTCATGGTTTATTCTAAGGAAAGGAGAAGTAATCTATTAAGGTAAATGCCCCAAGCAAACCCAGTAACTTTGCTACACAGCATTTAACTTCTCTGCTCCTGTTTTCTTTTATTTTTCAAAATGAGAACTAGCAAATGGCAAAGTGCAATGTAAAATGCAAGAATTTTCAAAGAACGCGATTGCTCCATGGCATTGTTTTAATATTGATATACCCATATGAAGCAGGTATAATGTCAATAAATTGTGGCAATAAGAAATTCTGAAACGCAGAGGCTTGCTTCTGCTTTCATAATATAGATTTTCCCTGGAGAGAGCAGGCAATCCAAATGCAAGCTTGTTTCACCCCGAAAGCACAATGTCTGTAGATTCTTGAGTTTTGTTATAATAATCTGAAAATGAGATCATAGGAAATGTGTTAGTGAATAATAGCTCCTTGATTGAAATTGATTAGCTAGCATAAAATCACCCCATACATAAACCTTTCTAAGGACAATCACCTTTAGCTTGAAAAATACATGTTTATCCTTTTAGAAGAAGACAAATGAAATATTTAAAGAATTCTGTTTTCTAGACAAATGATTCTTTTGAGTCTCTAGCAAGCCTCCTTTAGGTTTCCTTTTTTTTTTTTTGACACAGAGTCTCGCTTTGTTGCCCGGGCTAGAGTGAGTGCCGTGGCGTCAGCCTAGCTCACAGCAACCTCAAACTCCTGGGCTCAAGCAATTCTTCTGTCTCAGCCTCCCAAGTAGCTGGGACTACAGGCACGTGCCACCATGCCTGGCTAATTTTTTCTCTCTATATATATTTTTAGTTGTCCAGATCATTTCTTTCTATTTTTTAGTAGAGACGGGGGTCTCGCTCTTGCTCAGGCTGGTCTCGAACTCCTGACCTTGAGCAATCCACCCTCCTCGGCCTCCCAGAGCTGCTTTAGGTTTTCTAAAAAATATATAGATAGCTAATATTTTACCTTCTTTAATGATCTTTCCTGCAACAGAAACCAAATTCCTTTTCAGCCTGGAGTCGAGCAGGAAGCTGAAAAAGAAAAAAAAGATACAGAGCTAGCATTTTTCCATTTTGATGTTGAACAAAGAAATATGGTAAAGTTATAGTTGCTTCTCACATCATGGAGAAACAGCTTTGCAGAGGCAACTGGCAAGACAGTCTCCATCTTAACAGGACACAGAATCATTGTCAAGTTCAACTGCGACCGAATCCTTGAATTCAAATTTTATTTCCATTTTGAGAGAGAACAGCTTAAGCATTGGGAATTTGGATTCTTTTCCTCTTATTCAATATCTTTGCTCTCATAAAACTAGGCCATCATTGTATAGTCCTTCAGATCTTGTAAAAGAATCTTTTTTGGACAAATATTTTTTCATAAACTCTCATTGGTGAGCCACAGAATAATCCAGATATGGAAGATCAGTTCTTAAGGGTGGATGAATTTTATGAATACCTGTGACTTATCTGAAACATAAGAGGAGCTTAAAAGGTTACTAAGACTTGGAAAACTAAAATTAGTTCATTATAAGAACTTACCAAGGACTCTCTAATTCTGGATTTTAGCAAGACATTGAGCTGCCTCATGGCCTTTGGTGACAGAGAAAATGTTCTACATCACACATGCAGACAGTTAGAATAACCTAATTTTTATGAAGAAAAATTTGTGATCAGGACACTATCAGTGTTGTTTTGAATGGGTCTTGGCTTTCAATTGCTGCTATCTTTGCTGAGTGTTACTTTTAGCTTCTCATTAGCAATTTATTTTCTGGTTAGCTCCATGATGTGAAGTGAGGCCTATTCACAACAACAATATTTTGGGACTGTATTTTTCCTATTAGACTTTAAGAACTGTGTACATTGTGGTTCAAATACAGTGGATTCCTCATATTCCTATTGCTAAAACATGTGTACTCATAATTCCTCTAACATTTATTTGGTCTGTACCTGTTGAATTTAGACACACATTGGCCTTGGTGGCTTTTTCCTTTGAGTTCCTTCTTTGTTTTCTTTTAAATAGTTAATTTCCTTGAATTAATGGCCACAGATTTTGCACACAAATGCTTACCTAACGTATTTGGTTTATATTTGTTAGAATATTTCAAACCACAGACAGGATAGAAGGCTTTAATGTTCTTTTTCAACCAAGAAATTATTTCTTTGCTTTTTACAAAAATGGAAATAAATACAACGTACCTTGTTGCTGAAGGGCGTGTTACACAACATGTTTTCATTGTGGGCCATTTCCTTACCTGGAAATACAATACCATCGTTTCAGTCATTCACACACTGGATGATTCATTCCTTCAGCACTGCTTAAAAATGATTTCCAGAAACAGTAGGGTATAGGTGAAGAGAAAAATTACCAAAGAGATAAAAAGGGCATGTTGAAAAAGGAACTCTTGGCAAGCGCGGGGTTTTCTCCTGCAGTGTGGACTGACTCGGGCAGGACACCGAGGAGTCTCCGCAGTCGCTTCAGTCCGGAAACAATCTTTGCAACGCCTTTGAGTAACAGCCTCCACCTGATCACACCTGCTTCTGTCCCTTCCCCGCGGCCGCCGGCATTGGCTGACTGCGGAGCAGCGTTGTGTGCACACCTGGCCCTGCTCCTCCTGCCGTCCCCCTGGCTTCCCATTCCCGTCCCGGCCCCACGGCCAGCTTCTACTTCTTCTTCGTTCCCAGTCAGTGCTGCGGTCCAGGCTGCAGACAGCTGCTTTCGGATTATTCTCCAGCCCCCTGGCTGGCCTCCAGCTCTCCATCGCCCTCCCGGTGTCGGTGTTTGGCGCACCTTCCTCCCCCGGCCCACGGAAACGAGTCGCCCTCCAAGCGACACTCAGATCTCACTTGCTCTGTCACTACCCCACACGTCCTGCACCAGCCCTCGTTCACGCAAGTCGTTATCGGTCTTCAGAGCAATTCCCCACGGTGCGAATCCTATCTGCATCTTCCATATGAGGAAACTGAGGCCCGCAGAGCTCCAGCGTCTGCCAGGGGTCACAGCTGGTAGGCTGTGTGCGGCCAAGGCAATCGGAGTTCGAAGCACACGGTTCTCTTGCTGGATTATGACGCCTCTAGAACTGCTGGTCGATACTCACATCACGCTTATTTTGGATGTAGACTGCTGCTGCGTGTGCATATAAAATCTGAATTTTTACACTGACCTGCCCAAGCATATTAGGGTTACATTAACATTGAAATTGGCTTACTATGTACCTTGTTTTAGTCTTAAATCCTTCAATAAATACCAAGCACTTACCACTTGGATGGTGCACAATGGTGAGCTTATCTAGAAGACAAAAAAAAGAAAAGCACATTCTACTGAGTTTTATTCAATATTTATCTAAACTCTCCCTCTCTCTTTTTTTATTGCTTGACTACTTTGAGGTGACTTTGAGTCTTTGAGGTGACTATGAAATCTCACAATCTAATCCAAAAATACTCCAAATGTATCTACCTCTGGCCACTAAGCATGAAACCATGTCTCTGATTACTTTTGCCCTTGTCTCAAGGCACACGGCTGTAGACGGGTCTGACACAGGAAATGCCTGATGCTCGGCCTTAATGTCCTGTTGGCCTGAGCCACTCCATTCTTTTCAAAAATCTACATTATTCAGCAATAATTTTACAGTACAATTCAAACATTTTTAAGTGTATAGGTTGATGACTTTTGACAAATCCATACAGCCACGTACCCAACAACTTGATAGGATAGAGATCACTTCATCTCCATAGAATACTCCCTCATGCCCCCTCAGGGCAGTCCTCACCCAGACAGTACTTATGGCAACTCACGATCTGATTTCTGTCTCCATAGGTTAGTTTTGTCTAGAATTCCAAATAAATGCAATCTTACAGCATGTACTCCTTTGCGTCTGGTATCTTTCACTCAGTACAATGTCTGTAAGATTTGTTTATGTTGTTGTGAATAATAGTAGGTATTTTTTTAATTGCTGAGTAGTATTCCATAGTGTAAATGTACCACGATATAATTATCTGTTTTCTTATTGGACATTTGGATTGTTTCCAGTTTGGCTATTATGAATGAAAGTGCTATGAACTTTTGTAAACAGATCTTTGCTTTTGTTTGTCTTGGAAAAATTCTTAGGAATGGAATGACTAGGCCTTAGAGTGAGTGCGTGTTTGGCTGCTCCATCGTCGTCACACCACTTCCTACTCCCCTCAGCAAGGCATGTTCAGTTCCACGTTCTAACCAATGCGTAGGTCTGACAGTCTTTTCAAATTATATTCATCACAGCTTTTGTGTATTGGCATCTCGTTGTAGCTCCATTGGCCTTTTCCTAATAAGTGACGATGCTGAGCATCTTTTCCCATGCTTCCCGGGCATTTGCTTTTATAAACTAGATGTGGTGCTGGGGGTACCCATGGGTGCTGGGCTGTCATTGCTTCTAGGGCCTCTCAGCAGGCAGAGCCGAAGAAATACACGTGTTTATGCGCACACGTATACCTCTATAGTTATCCATCTGCAATTATACATTAACAGCTGTGATTTGTTATACTCTGACCTCTTATTCTGGTGCAACCCCACGACATCCTTTCTAGCTTCCTTCTTTCCTTAGTTATAACTCACTTCTCTGACAACAGGAAGCCTGGCTCTCCTTATCCATGGTGCATTTATAATATTTATTTTTGCTTATATTCTATTTGCCTCCTTCCCTGCCATGTCTTTGTTTATTGAATATGTGAAATATTAACAAAGTTGTAAAAGTAGAACTGTACAAAGAGGTACACTCAGAGAAGTGTCCATTTGTTTTTCTTTTTGAGTCAGTTTTGGTAAATTTTGTTTTTCAAAATTTGTTCTTTTTTTGTCTAAGTCATTTAAGATATTGGCAA